TAAATAATATGGAACTCTACGGATCTCGCAAGCCAATATTATATTTCCCCAGACAAATTCTTCACCAGTTTGCCAAACCAGGTGAGATAGACGGCTTAGTGAACCCTAGGCGTGTAGGAAGATCGAACCAATAACTGATCGATCACGTGTATATTGCCGCGGACCTCTAACCAGTGCGCTTCGTACGCTCGTCGACATGCTTCGAAAAAACACACTAGTCTTCTTGCAAAATATTAAAAGGCGTCGTTTTAAAACTGCGACTCTGTAGGTGTTCTACGGAAACCTTTAAAATCAACATGTTCTCACTTAAACCTATAATCAAACATTGACGACGATATGCGCGGATATCAATGCATAAGTATATTGTCTCTGGAATTTGAACAGATATCCCTTCTGCAGTAAATCCCAGGATCGAATTTCTATTAACCTCTGCATTTATCAATAATTCACTGTTTTCTTGATGAGTAGAGAGATTTTTTCAACAGAATTTATTCACAATAGCTGACGTTTCGTGAGTTTCGTGTCCTTCAGTGTCTGGAAGGGTCAAACGAAATCTACTCAGACAATAACTTTCATAACCATAGCACACGAAACTTAGTACATAAATTTAATTCCCAAAATAAACAGCTTCTCCTAAACAATCACGGGTTGGTTCTTTGTAAATCTTCCAGATACTGTTGGAGACCAGCTTCACAGTACTGCATGCGCGACGAGTGTGCCTCTATCACTTTTAAATATCAATTTGAGATATTGCGCAAGACCACGCGTAACAATAGGGCATTACTCCTTACGGTTCACTTTTGGATTTTTGGAATCCATCAAAGACGTTTGAAGGATTTTTTGTGCTGATGTGTTAAATTCCTGTGCATGGCTACTGATTTATACTTCAGAATCTTCTCCGTTATTTCTTTATGCCCTATACGAGCTCACTGGAGTGTTTTCTTTTACTTTGAGTTTTTCAACTAGGTGCTCTTTTATACGGACACAAAAATGTCTACACCGCTCGCCAGCCTATTCGTCCTCAAACGCATTACAAGAGATCGGATGCACCGTATCCGAACCCATTCAATTACCTTCTCTACCGTTGGGGGACATTATGCAATTTTGCGTTAGGCATAGACGGTCGTAGAAACGGAGACAGACTAGCTGGCGACTTAGAGTGCTCGGTGGTAATTCAATCACTGCTACTAAGTTCTCTAGACACGCCCTTTTCGCTTTACAGCTGTGCTTACTCCATTGAAGAGAAGTGCAGATTAAATGGTACTTTGTTTTCGTAAGACTTGTCGTTCGAGAGTTTTTTCTCTAAACCTATCCCGAGGAGCTATCGTTTCGTAGCTATTTAAAATGGATACTTGCCGCGTAAATTTCAGGAAAAAAAATTTCCCCTCTCTTCCGGTGCACACAGTGGTGCCTGTTCGAAACATGTTTCTCACAAGCGTTTTTGTGTGCGAAGAGTGAGAGGAGAAGTAATTAACTAGTATCCTATGTTACTTGGCTTCCATTGCAACTTGGTGATGTAGCAACTTTCGAATAGGTTAATTTGAACGTTCAGAAATGGAGGCTAGTTTTCTTCCGATTTCTCTTGGGTAAATTTAATGCACTCTAACTATTCATTCGATAACTCAAAACATTTTCCCAACCCCTTTTGTGTGCAACAGATGAAGAAACAACCATCCATATATGTGCAGTAGAGTAATGCCTGTAGATCGATTACTATTGCCTCTACCTTAGACATAATGGCAATAGCAAAGCTTAGTGCCAGTCGCTGTCTCACTGCCAACGCTCCCATTTATGCGAAACATGTCCCAGACCATCTAAAGATTGAACAGTTTAGCTCCTCCTTTAAGAGAAAAGAGAAAAAGATGTCGAATTGGGAAGCCATACATGTTTGCTGCTCTTTCGTGTTACTTAAAGAGCTCGTGGTTACTCGATGTTAGGACGTGCGTTACGTAGGCGATCCAGGAACAGTTGAGTATTTGTGAAATCAGAATGGATGTGTTTTAGCAACTGGATGAGAATTAGGTTTATAAACAAAGCTATTCTATCCATCGGTCCGTTCTACATAGCTTATGATGGGTCTGACCTTACATAATAATGAATCGGTAAACGCAAGATCTTTCTTACTTTCTTACTCTAGTGGTGCTATTAGCAATCATTCAATAAGAATGCGATAGAAAAATTCGCTGACAGAAAGGGAAAGTAAGGATCTCGGTTGGTGTGGTGCATAGCACGTCAGCTCTCGGTAAGGGTAAGCGCTGGTTCGAAGCCCACCTGAAGCACCGAGTTTTGCTCATATCTCAGGATCCTTGTCGTTGTATTTCACTAATTTTTGTTTCTTAACAAATGAATTACAGAGCGTAGCTTCTTGGTAATTCAAGTTTAAAACGAAAAATAACTGGTGAGTTTAAACCTGCCGTTATCGCCCCTCTGGCCACTCATTGTTCAAGTTTCGGTATTGGTTTTCGAATTCCTTTTCGAAGATGATGGAAGACGAAGGGAAGCTCCATTAAGGTGTTTTCCGCTATGGAGTCCTTCGACGCCACCGCTACAAATGTTTCAAATGACTCCGCTATGCAAGCTACCCGCAAGTTCATTAAGCAATACGAAAGAGCAATTAACATGTAGCATGTATGGCTTCCTTGGTTGTTCTTTTCTTGTAAAACATGTGAACAGAAATACGTTAGCTAAGCAGGTAGACCAACGTGTAAAGCTGCACCTACTTCGGAAACTTAAATCTAAACAAAAAACTCCACTAGGAACACATAGGGCACGAAGACAACGGAGACCTTGAAGCAAAAGTCACTATCTTCGCATTCTGGATAAAATCCAAAAGTGAACCGCAAGAAGGAGTGACTCGTGATCAAGCGTGACCTCGCACCAAACCTCAGGCTGCTTTTTAACCTCAACCAGAGATATTCCTCACCCATGTACGAGTCTATGCAGCTAGTCTCCAATAACATCTGGAAGACTTAGAAGAAGGAACGGAACGACGAGGTTTTAAAAGGACAGATCTATTACGCGAATAAATAAAATTTACGTATTCATTTTCATCTTACGAGGTTATGAAACTGTTTGTCTGAATGATTTTCGTGTCAGTCTGACTTTTCTAGGCACTGAAGAAAGGAAACCGCCGAAATGTCGGCTATTCCGGATAAATATTGTGGTAACAACCTTGTGTCTGCTCATTGAAAAAACAGTGAAATATTTTCCAAGGTATATGAACTTGTTGACCGCCTGTATGACCGTCTGTGTGAAACAACAAATTGCGTAATTTGCCCTTACGGCAGGGACGGTGATTGCATGAGTTCAGGTACGATATACCTGATCTCGTGTAACAATTGCGGAGATGAATATATTGGCAAAACGGGCAGACCTTTGTGTATCCGTATAAAAGAACACCTAGATGGCAAACGAAAACTAAGACGAAGCACCCCACTAGGCACGCATAGGATACAAAAGCATTGCGGAGACGATTGTGAAGTGAAAGTCAATATCCTTGCACAGGAGTCCAAAACACCAGCGCGAAAACTCCTAGAGGCTTTTTGGATCAATGCCAAAAACCCTACAATGAATAGCAGGGACAGAATGCCCGGAGATCATACGCGACCTGATCCCGTACGTTCGCATCGATTTTTGATGTGGGATGGTGCAGTCGTCAACCACATGCGACTATAATCAGCTGTTCTAAACTTCCTCATTGGAAGTCACAAAAAAGCGGTGGGTTTTTCGAGAAGTTGTTGATCGTGTAATTACCAAAGAGCCTTTCGTCTTTGTGTAAGTGTTATTCTTCAATTGGCCTAGTAGATTGTATATCAGTATACCCTTCCAGGCTCTGAAGAAGGCGATACTGCCGAAACGTCAGCTAGCGTTGTGTTGTATTGTGTTTTTATGGAAGTAAATGTATGCTGTTTAAAAACCTCGCGATTGCTGAACAAGAAAACGACACATTCATATTCCAATGCCGAGGTTAAGAGAAAGTCGATCTTGGGAGTGGTCCGAAAATCGTTGGAATCCACAAGTCTCTACCAATAAAATCTAATTCACTTATAATCCCAACAAGGTAGCAGACAGCAAAGTGATAGTGACACCAATCATCAGAGCACGGTACTGACACGATCTAGCTCCGGGCTCAACAAGCCCTTCATCCCTTCGGGGTCGGGAAACTGGTACGTAACTGTCCGGAAAAAATCTCCCTCTACAGTCCGAGTAGTAACGCTTTAGATAGGCTATCAAGAAAATTCCAAGGAAGAACAGTATTCAACGACATTCATGATCAAAGGGAAGTCCTCAAGCAGAAGCTGAAGCCACGGATAAAGGTTGGAAAACCCTAGTGGATGATGGATGCGAGGAAATTAATTGTATGCGTGAAGTGCTGGGATCTGCACAGTAGATGTGAAAAAGAAGCCATGTAAAAAACAAAAAGCATATGATCCTAATATGACGCTTCCAGATTTTGAAACCCATGAATTGTTTAGTGTTCCGTTCTTTTTTCCTCGAGCCTTGCATTTCTAGCAGCGAAGCGACTAAACAAATTTTGATATCCAGAAGAACGCAACGATGTTCACAAATGTGTTAAAGATATCGACAGCTGCCACGCTGGCATCAAAACTCCTTACTTTTTGTATAAATTGAAAAACTAAGAAGAAGCGATGTAGGGAAGAGTGTTTTACACGAGCCTGGCAAGTCTATCAACGCTCAAGCACTTCACCTGTTGAAAATTTGTTGGCGAAGAAATCAACAGCTATGGTAAAGCGAGAATGCTCTCGACTTTGTTAATGAGGGCCTGCTGATATTTCATATGCAAACATATCTACGTTCTTATCTGTAAAAATCAAATCTGCCTAGAATCATAGTTGTTTTTCACTTTAAAATGAAAAATCACTAAATCAAGGCAAAAGATATGCCCACTTTGACAAATCGGGCCGATAACAACTCAAAGCAATCGGGATAGCAATGATACAATAACTAAAGCGTGTTTTACCTAACTATACCATTGGTATTCATCCACCCACCTTGTAAGGACCACTGATCCTCGTTAAGGTCTGATATTCCATTTTATTATCAAGATTCATCGTTAGACCGATTGGTGTGATTACCGGAATACCCTGAAGAAAAAATTAATAGGCCACTGAAACAGCTGAGATAAAAATCAACAAGTCATCTACTGGAATACCTTAAGCTGAAAATCAATAACAACTAATGTAATATTGCGAACATTTACTTTGAAAAAACAGTAGGATGCGCCAGTTCATGCAAAAGAATCGTCTTCTTATGCAGCACTAAACACAGCTAGCTAAAGCACTCTGATTCCCAGTATCTGGTAAATTTCGATCCCACAAAATTGCCCAGAATGACGCCGTGTCGGCCGAGAATAAGCTCCACACCGCAGTTCCGGAGAATTCGTTCGAAAGTACATACGTTGCTATCGTCGTCTTGCCAGTACGGACACATACGAGCAACCGGTGCTAGAGCGTAGACAAAAGCGTATCCGATAATGCAATCCAGACGATTCTGTAGAAAAGAAAAAAAGAAATAATAAGACAAAAACAGCGTAATGGAAAAAATTTACTCTCATACAAGACTAAAGCGTGGTGTCATCGCATTAAATAGTATCTTTAAAATATTCATAAAGATCCGAAAATTTCATAAAGCCGTTGCAGATGTGAAATTTGATTTCGCAGATAATCCTTTTACGGTCTAACTGAACCCTCCAAAAATGGAGGTTCCTGCTGGTTTAGCGCGCCAGTGGATTCATTGGGCTACCACTGCCTAGTGGGACAACAAAGGGATTGCGATACTGGTTCAGAAACCACTGGCACAAATAAAACACGTAAAAGTGAAGTAAATAAAATGGAGCCTTACTTTGAAAACGAAAAAAGTGAAGCCTTAAAAAAACAGTAGAGGTAATTGTGGAAAAAAACAAGTAGTAGGTTCAGAAAATATATCACCTTGACCAATTGCTGTATGGCAACGTTAGGACCATGAGCATCAGATAATTTACTATCGCGGTAAGTAATAGCCATCGAATCGTGTGGAACATATCTGAACAACCAATAAATTGATGACAGATAGCACCTTTTAAAAAATACTTCGAATTCCCTATTAAAAATGGACCAAAAATAAGAGACTACTAACTAAGACCTAAACAAAACACTCACTGAAACTTTCTATACGCATCATCCACTGCGAGATCAATAACGGGCTTAACCTAAAATCAAGTGCTGGAGAAAAGTGTTTGAAAAAGTTGGTAAAAAATAGAATAATAAAGTAAAAAGTCTCCATCTCTGGAAACTGTATGTGTTTAGCTCATTAGAAAGAGAAGCTGAGCAACAAACGTTCGAAGTATCTGAAATCTTGTTATGTTCTTCCAATTCTATGTACTTGATACTTGAACGGCCGTCCTAACTGATTGTGCGGGCCCCAGTATAATCACCATTTTTCGGAGGTTGATGGTTAAACCCCTGTGATTCCATGGAATCCCGAGGTCATCCTGGCCAAAGTCTGCCCCAGGTCTTCGACAGGAAGTTCCAGCCCTTGTGGATCAGAAAGAGATTTGCCATCATGCGACTTTGATACCAGGGCAGTGGTGGATCCTGGTATCGGTTTATGCCTAGCTAGTCTTCCTGATGGAAACGCTGGACTCCATCTCAGCATGGGAGACCCTGCCGGGGTGACGAATCCCCTGCTATACATTGCAGTCCGACACCCAGGAACACCTCCTAGCCACGATGAGGCGGTAAACCGTCGGGAGGATCAAACAATAAATTGATCAGAAAGCTCAGCAATACTACAAGTTTCTAAGATCTAGTGCCTTTATTGAACGAACAAGAAACCTGAAGTATATTATTACATATGTAGTATTGTAACATATAATAGAAAGGATAAAGCCCTCGGCGTTTATCAAACCCTGAGAGATTCGACATGCATTCGCCTTCATTAAAGATCGTTTGGGGTGATTGAACGTACATCTGGCCTATATTGACCAGCCGTGGCTACCGATGTATCGAGCCAGTGCTGTTATCCTCCCATACAAGTCTGATATCAATTTACCAACCCCTGAGAAATAGAAAGCTTGGCAAGACTGAGGAGCGGCATCGAATCCATGTGTATTGCAGGGTGCCTCTAACCACTCTGCTTCACGCGTCCATTATAACATATAATATGCATTATTAATATATTTCTGAGAACGGACCAATTATCGACAAGAAGTCACGAGTTCATTGGAAGCTTTCAGAGTAAAACGAACCATAACTTGTAAGAAAAACCTCGTCGACTATAGACGCAAAAAAGTTTTCGACGAAGAATTTGCTACTGAGTACGTCGGTGTAGAAACAATTTCCATCTAAGCTTGGCTGCATGGTTACCTTTAATCGACTTGGTTTCACAACATCAAGATAAATGTAGACGAGATTGTACCTTCAAAGCTCTATCAATATTATTAGATTATAAGCTTATTCTTCCCGTAGGTCAGGTTTTTGATACCAAATTCGACAACTGCCTCAAAAAGCAGCCATCGACAATTGCATGTATCGATTTACGCACATAACTAAACCTTCGTCTCCAGCTATGATGTTGTCCAACAACAATATGTAGACAGACCAAAACTGCACAAGGAGACTGACAAGCCCTGCCTTACTAGCATCATTCCTCAGGATTTAAGATATTCCATTTTAAAGAATTTCCTAGGAACCGCAGTTGGCCAGATAAATTCTGTCGGGTTTGCACAGCAAAAGGTCACTGTTAAATTTAAACAGATAAGGGAAAAAGCACTCGGCATTGACGAATTCCACAGGAATGCGCCAAGCATTCGATTCACTTCATCTTGTCGTAGTGATTTTCTACATATTTGGTATACACAATGATGAACGGAGCCCTATCGATGTACTATCGACAGGTTTTTTTGTCAGCTTGGACAAGACGTACCAATTTGCCGTGATGGGTCACGGTCAGCACAGGGCATGTTAGTGAACAAATGACGTTTCTTAGTGTTGTTGCTGGTCGTTCTACTTGCAATTCAACATGCTTTTATCATATTTTGTAACCTCTGCACTTTTACGAGCAGATATTTCTCTACCGGTTTTATTTCCCAAGACCATATGAAACTACACATTTTAAACGTAGTAACCTGAAGCCCACTTCACACTTAAAAACTGCATACTTGAAATTTTTTGGAAGTGAACAACTCTCGTTGGTCAAGTTGTTTTTTTTTCTTAAAAGCTCTTCAACAAATTTCAAGAAGGGCACGACTCCAACGTACCTTGAGAATTGAAAGGCCGAAAGGATTTTTGAGTTCTTCTTCAACGTCTTCAAGCGGCAACGGTACTATGATATGAACTGGATGAATCACCGATACCTAAAGTCCGTCGCAGTTCAGAGTACGGTAGCTGAACATATCTGATTACGATTTGGGTATGGTAGAAAATATTGAATGGATCCTTCATCCTGACACACTGTTAGCGGATAAGGAAAGTTGTAAAGAATAAAATAACATGGCACTCAATAGAGCACCTTTAACGAGCTCATAGAACAAGATTCAATTTTATAGATGAAATGTGAGAAAAAATTTAAAAAGTCAGAATTAATCCTTGAAGACTATATAGAGAACGTCACGACTAGAATAAACAACGCCTATCTCCAAGTGAGAAATAGGACAACGTCGGATTGAGATTTTTTGTCCTTTCTTACCTTCCACTTACGCGCTTAATCCTTGTACAAATTCCTACCGAAACTGCATAAATCACCTGTATTACCTATCTCGAGGCCTCAAGTAACTCTAATTAATATGCTTTTATAATAATAAAAACAACTGCAATGAATACCACTAAACATTTCTTTTCTAAAAATTCTACTGCGCGTCAAGACTATTAAGTGAGCTCTGAACTCTACAGCGACCTTCGGAAAATCACAAATCCTGTATGAGGCAGTTCATCGTTTTTAACCGGTTATTTTTTTATACGACAGTAGTCATCGGTGACATGTCATGGTATTCACAGAGCATTCCAAACTTGTTTGCCGACGAAAATATTAGAGCCGCTTTGTTGTAAATGACTCACTCCATGCCATCTTCTGTGTACTTTCTGATCGCTTGATTTCTAATGTTTATTGCAGAAAAACCGTGAAGGACACACTGCTCGTACATGCAAGAATACCAGAGCGTTTAGGCATGAATATACCTACAAATCCTTGAAAATTTCAATTAGCCCGGAACACCACAAAGAGAAGCAGCCCATCCACTAGTTCTCAAGGCAAATACAGGCCACCATTTGACCCGTCCTAACCAACACTTGGAGCTACGTATGCTTGTGCATCTCTCAAAGTACTCAGTTGTCACAATGTCGAGATCGGAGGATTTCACAAATAACACAGCTGATGGACACAGCCTCAGTTTAACTGGGTTCATTGCCAATTTTGGCTGCACAGATCAATCCTGTTGGCGGGTGAGTGCTGATGGCACTGATCGATAGAACTAGCCTAGAGACAGACGAAACGAAGTACCCACATGGTGGTGAACGCGTTAGCTCCTGGAAAGGGTAATAGCGCGTTTGTTCCTCACAACAGACACCTACGGTTCGGAGTTTTGCAAATATCTCAGCATCATTATGGTTGTATTATAACATAATACCCTGCCGCGAAAAAATGTAATAGGCAGTAGATAAAAAGTTAACGTAGTACTAAATTGTTGGCATTTTTCACTTACCCTACTGTTGCGGTTACAGTTAATTTCTCACATTTTCTCATTATTCCTTTGCATTCATACAACTTACCGGTTTGTACGACATAATATTTTTGACTGCCAACAGTAGCAAGAAAAAACGTTGCATTTCATTTCCGTCTCATAGCAGGACGTCTGAAAAGGCAATATAGATTTTCCTAAGAGCTGGTCAAAGCGAACAAAACGTAAAGAAATGAACGAGCATGACCAAATTCATGAGATAAACGTAGACAAGGAAAGGAGCTAAAGCAAATTTCCGACCTTGCAATGATTAGAATTTCAGTCAGAAAGCTTTAAGCATCAAACATTCTGCAAAAATCTATAACGACATTAAAGCTAGTGAATTGGGCAAAATTAACAAGGTAATTACTATATCGAAAAGTAGATAAAAACCAAACTAATTCACCACTGAGAGGTTCAATGGATGCTGATATCATCAGCAAGTTTTCGAGCGTAATAATAACGAGAAGGATATCTAGAAGATCCATTAACGCAGTAAATTTCTTACTCAATCTTTCATTTGTTATTCCTTTGTTACTCCTTTTAATTCGGTAACGATAATCGAAATACCACCGAATAATCTAAGGCGCCAGCTAGTTCGTAACCGCCTATACGACCGTCTATATGCAACGCAAAACTGCATAATTTGTCTCAATGGTAGAGACGGTGACTGCATGAGTTCGAGTACAGTCTATCTGATCTCTTGTAAAGTGTGCGGGAACGAATACGTTAGCGAAACGGGTAGACCACTCTGCGTACGTATAAAAGAACACCTAGTCGGCAAACGTAAGCCAAGTACTCCACTAGGTACGCATAGCACGCAGAAACATAACGGAGAAGATTTTGAAGTAAGGGTTACGATCCTCGCGCAAGAATCGAGAACACAAGCGCGCAAAACTCTAGAGGCATTCTGGATAAATTTCAAGAATCCGAAAATGAACCGCAGGGAGGAATGGCTTGTTATCACGCGTGATATTGGACAGTCTATAAACCTGTTATTCTGATGGGAGGGGCACATTACGCTTCCATGTGAATTCTGTGCGGTCGGTCTTCACGCGACATACTCAGTGGAAGACTCATAGAAAGCGGTGAGTGTGCAAAGCTGTGTTCAATGTGATTGAAATCTTGGTTTAGCGTTTTCTCTGTTTGGTTATGGAGGTGTTTGGCCGAATGGTTTGCTGTCAACTTGACCCTTCCAGGCTCTGAGGAAGGCGAAATCCGCCGAAATGTCAGCTAGTGCGTAAATAAAGAAATAAAATAGCACCTCGTGCTTGCTGAGCAGAAGTAGAAAGATATATTCAATCAATGCCGAGGTTAACAGAAAGCCGGACTTGGGAGTTATTCCTTTTTTGGTTCATCTAGTCAGTGTTTTGATTCTCGTGGACATACGTCAATTTCGGAGGGATGGAAGGCATAGTCATTGCGGACACGGGGTCGAACAAAAGAAGAAGTGCGCATAACAAGACATGTCTAATCTCTGCGCTATACGCGCTCCCTTGTTTCACCACGACTAGATAACTCCTTTGTTTTTAAATAGGGGAGGATAGCATAGTCGTAGTAACGTTCATCATGACCACGGTGTTGGTTCGATCCCTTTTGGCCTCAGCAAGCCTGTCATTCCTCCGGGGTCGGGAAATTGTTACCGGACTTGACTGGGAAAAATTCACTCTCTACAGTCCAAGTGAGAACGTTTTAGTCCAGCTATCTCAGAAATTCAGGAAGAATCAACTTGATCAGCATTCTACGACATTCAAGTTGAAAAGAAAATCCTCAAGCATCAGGCGAAACCAAACGTAAAAGTTGGAAGACCTTCGTGGATGATGCGTGCGTGGACACGAATCGAATGCGAGAAGTGGTGGGATCCGCACAGCATATATTACAGACGGGTCGTAAGAAAAAAAACAAATACTCATGTTCTCACATGTCATGAGAGCCCAGCGTTTCTTCTACTCGTTTTGTTGACTTGTTGCAACTTTCGTCCATAAAAGTAGCTGAGTTAACATTTCGATTAGTGGAAGACGTGACGACTCTTCTTTCCTCGCTAATACAACTGTTGTTGGTCAACCAAGGTTCTTCCTGGAACCTTGAGATAGCCGTGTTAAAACGTTTCCAGAAGTAGACCATAGCAGCCCGCCAACAAGTATGGGCAGTTGGAAAGTTAAGCGGCTTCCACTAGAATTCTACCAGGAAATTAGCAACTCCTCCATTGACAACGATTTTTACAGGCTTGAATAAGTGCTACTTAACACGAATATGAAAACGTATTGTCGTATATTTGGACTAGACATCAAAAAATTATTGTTTTATCATTGAACATCCAAATGGAGTAATCTTCCACTACTAAACGTTCATAAGTCCCTCACGGTGTGAATGAGTTTCGTCTTCTAAGTGAACACGTACTAACAGTGTAAAGTGCCCAGGTACCGACGTCTGTTCAACAAAATCCCACTGGGAGTCCACCCTAGATGAAGTGAAAGGATTGATTGAATCTAACAACCAAATCCATGATATGAGAATATGTCAATATTTTGAAGGTAAGCAAAGAGGAAAAACTATTCAAGTCAAAAAGTTGCCCACCTTCTTTACCTGCCATATTTCTAAATGAGCTGAATTGTCTAGAAAAACAATCACAGGAAATCTTGCTAATTTGAGATCAGGAAAAGGTATCAAAACTCCGTTCGTCAGTGTTCGCTTGTGTGTTTATTTATAGAACGTTTCAACAAAAAAGAAGAAAAACACTAGCGGGGAAACTCCTTTCTTAGCATTCATGGTTCCAGAACTAAAGAAATGGTATGAAACAGTTAACGCTGTGCAGCAAATAATTGTTTAGAAGAGTAACTAAAGGTAGGTAGAAGCCCAGATCCGCTAGAACCAATCTCATTGTGATTCCACTTTGGCTATAAAACGGCAATTATCGAATGACTGCCGAATACTCCAACTCATTAACTGGTTTGCAGCCATTTTACAACCGTTTCTGAATAAAATAAATGGTGGCACTTATCGTACAGAGAAACATATAAAGGCGAGGATCTTGAAGTTGAAGTGAAGTAAAGTAAAAGTTCCACTACCTGTAGAAGAGACACAAACAGTGGCCAGTAATAAAGCTTGGACTTATGTTTTTCATTAACGTCGGAAATTCTTCGGACAAACTGAAGAAACTAGTGCTTAACGATAATTTAATAATGTATGAGGAGTATGAACTCTACCCTCGACGTAAACAACTAAGAAACTGATGTTGCCAGAACTACACAATTTTATAGAGAAGACGAGTAGACGTTAAGTGAATTTCAGAACCTAACTTATTCAGATTATAAAATGACGAATACTAATGAAATATCGGCCCATGTAAGTCAAAAAATATTTCAAGATAACAAATTCCAGAAGCGACTTTCTTTCTAACTCGGCATTGATCAACAATTCTCTGTATTCTTAGTGAGCAAACACAAAGTTGTGATGATGACGGTGTTTATCCATTCGCAGTAGCAGACGTTTCGGTGGTTTTGCCTTCTTTAGAGCCTTGAAAGGTTAAACTGACATGCAATCTGCTCAGTCAAACACGTCTATAAATTCACTTTCATAAGCGCATAAAAGTCTAGGAGCATTTTGAACGAATTCCGAAAATACAAAAAGGCTCTGCAAGGACGAGTGTTTTGTGATCAGGTGTAACCTTGTGCCATACCACTGGCTGCTTTTTCGACCTTAGACAGGCACATTCCTCATCCACACCAAACACTCTGTGCAGCCGCCGCTCTCCAACAATAACTAAGGGTTTATAAAGAACAAAACGGTAAGTTTTTCTGTATTAAATTTTATCTGTTGAGGTTATAAAAGTGTTTGGCTGAGTAGACTGCGTGTCAATTTGGCCTTCCTAGGCTCTAAAGAAGGCGGAAACGCCGAAACGCAGGATATTGTGAACGAATTAAATACCGTGATAACAATTTCGCGTTTGCTCATCAGGAAAATAGCAAATTATTTCAAGATAGCGTATTTCAAGATTCCTTCCATGTTTCCAAGATCATGAAATTAGTATCAGACTTGCTTACGACTAGTTCGAGCCCTCCAGTCCAAAAAAACTAGCGACAGCTTGTAGTGAAGTAATGGAAATGCCCTAGGATACTTATCCCGAGATTCCAGGAAGCATGCCCTCGACCAGCATCTATTAACATTTACAATACAAAAGTCCTCAAGCAGAAGCCGAATCCACCACAAGCAAAATCACAAAATGTTCGTGGATGACAGACGCGAGGAAATGAATCGACCATAAAAGATGCAGTGAAGTTCACAGCATGTAATGTGGCGCTTCATAAAAAAATAAAAATAAGTGAAGTAAAGTTACGATGCATGTGGAAACTACTGAGTCGTAGGCTACTCCATCGCAATATGAACAAACATTGTGAAAATTATTATTGCACTAACAAATTCATATCGACATTTCAAAGGGTTCAATTTTAGAAACTAAATAAAATTCATTTTGAGACTTCTCAGAGAACAGCTCTTTCCTCGCAATCCACAAAATTGGCTATATTCCTACGGTGAAAACCTGAGAACACTCTAGCTGTGCTATCTCAGGATTCCTGGGACAATTAACTCGAAAGGTATTCAATGTATGGCTCTCATGAGAAAGGATGAAAATCCTCAGTCAGCAACCAAACCCAAGCATGAAATCCGAGGATAATCGTGCATGATTGAAGTGAAGAAATGAGAATAAAAAAGTGCTGGGATTCACCCTGTGTAAGCTGCTGGGTCAAGTAAAGTAAAACAAAGTAAATAAATAACAGTGTTAAAATAAATAGAAGATATATTACGGCAATTCAAATTAAGAATGAGAAACTTGGGAGGCCAGAACGTTACAAATTCTCCGAAAGCGCTTTCGGCAACGAGTTGACTGTTGGAAACTTATCTATATGTGGAGTTGTAGAGATGCAGACGAAAAAAAATGTCAGGCAGTAGTAGACGAAGTGCATCTTGAATAAATTTGGTTATACAAAGCTTAACAAAGAAATATTCGTCTCACTTACGAAGAGTGATTTGGTGGAACTCCATTTTCAGCGATATACTTTAAAAGCT